AACACTAAAAATCAAATCGTACGGTGATATAAAAAAAGGCAAAAGTAAAATCTTTTTTATTATATAAGTATATGTGTTTATATTTAAAATTGTTTTCTTGCAATCTACGAGTATATAAATCATCTTGTTATTAATTGTTAATGTGTTTTGCTATTGACTTCATTGTACATATCATAAAAATATTATCAAATATCCATTCAAATATCAATTGTGAGTTGTCTAAATTAATTTAGGCATAAATATTGATTTTCCCAATAATTTATTATTCAAAATTCATAATATTAAAAACTGAATATATTAAAAATTGATATTAAGAATAATTTTGTATTGTTTATACAAAAATTGCCAAGATGCTAAAAAACTATTGTTTATACTATATTGTTTATATTAAAAATGGCCAAGATGCTAAAAAATGTAAATATATAATACATGCAATTTAGTAACAAATTCATTTTTAATCAAAAATGGTCTTAAGTACTTATTTCTTTTATCTGTTAAATAAGCGTTTTATATATATATATATATATATATATATATATATATATATATATAATTTATCAAATAAACCAAAAAAGTTCTTATGATCCTCGATATACTATTTTTCATCGAACTTGATATATTTTTGAAGTAAGTTTTTCAATTGTTTATTCGATTCGAAAATGTTTGACGAATGTTTTTACTTATGGATTTTCAATTCAATATCATTTATATATAATATTTATCTACTATTTCTTGTATTTGTGTTCTTCGATGCAATAAGCAAATTAAGTGAGTAAATACCATAAATACAAATACAATTCATTGATATCACTAGTGGATGTTTCTATAGCAACACAAACTTCCAAAGTTATTAGGTGAATTTTAGGAAATTAGAACTGAAATTATTGAAAAAAATTGAAATAATTATTCAACATGGGGTCAAATCCATCTGATATACTGCTTTTGGCACAAATGCTAAAACCTGAGGATGAAAATTCTACGGATAGCGAAGACGATTTACCAGCACCGGGGAAACAAAAACTTGGTATAATAATTGACATATATTAAAATAATATTTACATAATATTCATTTTTTAATCTAAATATTTAATTCCTGATTATGCCTTATAGTACATTTTAATCACCAGAAATTCCACAAATATAAATAAAAGTTCGGAAATTCTTATCACAATTTTTGTTTCAAGAGCTTCTTATCGATTCAAGGGCAAAATTATGCATTTGGGATATTTTGGAATAAAAATACCATTTTTTATGAGATTGAATATAATTTAATTAATTTAATCATTATGTTATTTACATAAGGTCCTGGTAATATATGTCCAAAAAAGCCTAAACCAATTATAAGACCTACTGACAAGAATGCTGTGAAGGGTGAAGGTAAATCTTGTGAAGAAATTAGGGAATATGAAGACCAATTATTGACTGTTGAAGACGAAAGTTCTTTTGGAGACAAAGCAACACCTGAATATAATATTGTGTATAAACAGGCAGTGACTAGCGAGGATGTATTTTTACAGGTAATATAACTATAGTTATTCCAAAGTTTTTTAAAAAAAATATTGCAAGAAAATTTGCAGCAAGAAATAATATAATTAAAAAAGCAACAAAATTCAAATTTTCCATTATAATTCATTAATTGTAATTTTGTTATTTCATCTGTATATGATTTTTTTTTTTCTTTTCTAGATGACTTGTAAGACTCCAGCAACTTCAAGCTGCGAAGACATGATTCTGACCATCAATTTACCAGGAGAGACTTCAGACAGTGTCGATTTAACTTTAACAAAAACTCATTGTATAGTCGATGCTAGAAAATTTCGACTTAATATGCCTCTACCTCATGAATGTGATCCTGATTTGTGTAAAGCTCAATTTGTTTCGGATCTCGAACAACTCAAATTAACAATACGTATGATTAGGGAATTTGACTTTGTTAATTTTTAAACTATGAATTAATTGAAGTAATACAATTGATAAAATAAAATTAAAATCATTTTTAATTATTGGTTTTAGTTTTTATACATAATGTATAATTATAAATTTGTTAGTTCTGAAGCAGTCATGCCCAAGTTGTAATATTTCTGAGAATCGAATTAGATATGTAAAAATTAAGTATCAATCAGAATTGCACTATTTTAAATCATAATTAAAACCTTTGGTATATTTTTTGAAGTACGAACTTTTTTTAATACGTGTTAAAATTGTAAAATTTATAACTTAATCAATTTATGAATTGAATAAATTCTGCGCAGAAATTCTCCAAAATGTGGGTGAAATCATGGAAGATGAAATATTGAAATTGGCAAAAGCATATTGCTCTGATACCGGTTTATATGAGAAAAACGTGGAAAAGCGGCAAACCTTTCTAATAAATAATAGGCAAAACAAATTAACTAAGTAAGATAAGAACAGAAATAATAATAGTGATGATCAAAAGATCATTCAATTGTATTAGGTTTAGCCAGCCTAATTAGCCCAGAAAATAAGGCCCACTATGATTAAAATTGTAAATGGACCCTTTTGATAAAAGTGATTGAAATTTTGACAAAAGCAAGACAAAGTTATAAAAGCTTTATCCACTTATCAATGAGCGCTAAAATGCTTAAAAATCAAAAACTAAGGCCTATATGAAACAATGCGTTATGAATGGGAAAATTTCCGAATGAAGTTTCTAGAGTTAAAATTGCATCTCAAATTAATAATTTTGAACTTTCATTTTCAACTTTAAGAAAATTAGCAAAAAATACTATAAAGAACTGTTTGATCGCCTGGCACAAGTGCTAATATCGTACTAAAAATAAGTTAAATATGAGGAAAATGGGGGTTGCAAAATCTTATTAATAAAAACAAACCAAAAGTTTGGAAATGATATAAGAAATGAAGAAATAAATAAATATTTTTTATGTATATTTTTACATAATATTGCTTATTAAATTACAGTCTGATAATTGAGTACTTGTGGAATTAAATTGGTAAAATAATTAAAGGGGCGCAACAAAAACAATCTATTTAGGAGGAGTCCATTAATCATGTGAGGATTTTAGGGGGGAGAGTTTGACAAAAAATCACATAATATTACGTGAGGGCGGGAGGTGTATAGTAAGATATCACGTATATTTAATTTTTATTTGATTTTTTTTTTTAAATTCAAACATTTTTAAAAAAATCCTAAATTTTACATTTTTTTCTTATAACTAAAAATACACGAGAGAGGAGGGGGAATTTTAAGTATTACTAAGTGGGAGGGAGTCAAAAAATACCTAAAACTTGATCACGTGATTATTGGACGCCCTCTTATAAAAACTGAAGGGGGGAGAGATGACGTGCTAGAATGTTGGGAACCACTGGGTTAGTGCATTTATAAAAATAACATGTTTTATAACTGCTATATCTATAATTGTAAAATACAAAATTGTGGGTAAAGTATTATACAATTATGAATTGCCGTATTGTGGCGAGCATAGCACATTTAGTAGCGTGTTCGGGATCTTTGGACCGAATCCTGTCACTGAATTTGAAATTAAATAAAATTGTATTTGTTAAGTAGAAATTAAATAAAACTAAAGAAAAATAGGAATTACAGAATTCGAATAGCTGGATTGTATTAGGAGTAAGAAGGAAAACATTAAAATTTGCTGAAAGAAGAATGAAGATGCTGAAAGTAAGAATGAATTTGCTAAAAGAAGAATGAAGTAAAAAATGGAATGAAGATAGAAGTTGAATAGAATTAGAAATTTGAAAAAAGCAAAAATTGAAAAAAATAAAAAGGAAAATTAGGAAGAATATTATAAGATTGAAAAATTAGAATTTAAATAAAAAAAATGTTGTAAGTGGCTAAATGCTCAGAGTAAACGCGGCCGAATACAATTAAAATAAAAAAAAAAATTGTACAGGTGACATGTCTACAATTGTAAAATGCAAAATTAAGTGTAAAGTTATTACACAATAATGAATTATCATTTACAAGTTAGTTTTTTTGTGTGCGTAACCTTCAGTAAACGAGTTTAGCTCGCATTTGGTTCGATTCTCCTTTTCCGATTTTCCGGAATTCTTCGCCAATCGAATCGATCTATACTACTACTACTCTTAAGAAGTAACTTACCGGCCGCGTGGTGTGGCGGTGCGGTGTAGGCGATGCGTTTGTTCTCATTGTTATCTCGGCCGGTTACTCGATCATTATCACAGTCTGAGTCTCAGGCCCAGTCGGCCCTCATCCGTGGCCAGTGCAACACCTTAAAAAAATATTAAAAAAATCTTTGTTATCATCCTATTATTTATTCCACGGTCCGGTAACAGTTGATAGTTTAGATAGATATTTATTAGAACGGTTTGAAATTTTATTCGTTTGTGACAAAATTGTTATCTATTGACGAGTGTACGGTTTTGCTAAAATTTTCTGTGATTCAAAAACACTTAAGACAAGTGATGACTGTGTATTGATAAGGATTTTGAAATCAAAATAACTACACGTGCATTAAGAGGTAGGATATCTTATTTGTCAACATGTTTTTATTACATATCATAATAGAATAATAATAAATAAAAATAAAAACAAAATATTCAGAATGTTAAAAAAATTTAAAGTTTCAGAAAATTTTAAAAAAAGGTTACTGAAAAAAAATTATATTATATATGTACAATTTTCGTCAATTATTTTTAATATATCATCAGATGGTTTTAGAAAGTTTTAAGAAAAGGTTACTGAACAAAAAATATATTATATATGTACAGTTTTCGTTAATTATTTTTAATATATCATTTGCAATAATAAAAATAAACACAGAACTTTATTGCACACTTATCTTATTAAAAATAGCACTATTATTGAATTATATAATAAACTAAAATGCATTGAAATTTATTTATTATTTCAATATATGGTACTGAAAATAATTTACGATACATTAAATAGTCTATATAATAAAATAATCTATATAATACACAATTTTTCATATCAGATTTTCACATTTCGATCGTTTATTGTTAATAATTTCTACATGCATTTGATAATTCTATAAAAATCTATCAAACTAAACTAAAATTATGTGAAAACATGCACTTAAATTTATAGTATATTAACAAGATATTTATTTGAAAGTATTAAATTTGAATTCAATTATTTAAGTATTTTATTTGATATGAGTATCATGATGATTATCATAATTTTAAGTTTTTAATGGTAAATTTAGATTTTTAATTTTTAATACTTATGATCCTTTTTATTTTTATTTATGTTAAATACATTACACTTATGTTATATACATTTATACCTTTTTTCATCTAGGTTATAAATTATTTTTTTTTTCTATATAATGATTTGGTTAATTTATTATTGATTTGTTGCCTAACAAAGTTAAGCGATTGTTAAATTTTGGGCTGCTTAACTAATTTTAGTTTATTTATTTGTTTCACTAGAAAAATAGTAATAATAAAATGAATAACATAAAGGTTTTGGATAATAAAATAATTAATAGAGCCGACCATTGGGTTATCATCTAAAAAGCTACGTAGTTTAGAAAAATCTTCATAGAATCTTATAGGACTTCATAGAATCTTATAGGAATTGCTGTCCAAAAATAATTTATCACAAAATATTTTTTCATATATTATTATTTTCATATCTTGTTGTTTATTTATAATATTATTTTAAAATACTATTTTGTTGATTTTCTCCTATAATTCTGATAAGTTTAGTTTAGTAAAAGATATGTAATTTTATATTTTCTACATGAGTGATATAAATCATGCAATTCTTATTTAGTTCTGTCCAGAATACTTTTTCAAGGCTTGTATTAATATCATTTGAGATTTTGATTTAAAGTTTATCTTCTAATTTATGTAATTTTGAGCTACTTTCTAATTTAATACTCAGTATTAGCGTTGCATAATATTTACTTCAGATCTAATATTAGTATTGCAAATAAAACACTGCACTCGCTAATTAAATTTATGAATTTTGCAGACACAATTTTTGAACCGTTTATTTGAACTATCAGCTCATAGTATCTTCCAAGTTTGCAAAAAAATATAAAAAATAAACGTAAATAAATTTTTGAGTAAAAATTTTGTTGGAGAAGTTTCAAAAAAACAAAAATTATATTTTTATAAAATTAATATAAGTAAAATTAATATATATTAGTAAAAGATATTTTATTTTTAATTTTCTTCATTTTTATAATATCAGTTTGCTAATTTAATTAAATGGAGAGGAAGATCAACAACCAAGTCAATAAATCAATCAGCATCGAGATATTGCACTTTTGATAAGAAAATACTTGGAACTAAAGATTTTGTTGCAGGATATGAAAATATGTATATTATAGTGTTTGATTTTTTATATTAATACATCATAAAAAATTGCAATAAATTTTGTTATAACATCAAATCAAATATGGATTGTACTAAATAATTTTATTCTATCATATTTCTATATACATACATATATATTGAATGAATTATATATTTCTATAATATTATTAAAGAGAGACAATATATTTCATACACCATTTAAAAATATTAAATAGAAATTAATTAAATTATTTCCTAGAATACATTACTGTTTAATGTTACCAAAAGTTTAGATCTATTTGATCTGTTATATTGATAAATGATTTTTTAATTGACTCACAAATTTGCTACTTGCTTTAATCAATAAACTTGACATATTTTCAATAGGTTCTTCTTAGCCCATTGACACATTTAACTGTTTGAACAATTGAAGAGTTGTTGTACTTTGCACTTCTGTAAACTAAAATTTTGAAGTAGATCTACAAAGTAGGGATATATAATGTAGTAGGCAAAGGAAAATGATATGTAATAATTACTATACACTTTTGGAAACAAAATAAACAATCAAATAATTTTTAAATGAAAATTGCTTTGTCAGTATCAAGTTTCAATTACCATTCTACGCTCGAGCAATTTTCAACCCATCTTTTCCGCGCCTAATTGAATTCGACAATAGGATGCACTCTGCTAAATCTTCGTATTTCAATCAAATCAATTCCAAATAAATCTCTTCAATAAATTCTCATTGTCATTGTCTTTTTTTCTACATAAATCTGTCAAATGACTCACAACAACGGGAAGAATACAGGCATTATACGAGGATTCCTCAAGCATAAAAATAATTTAAAAATCTTCTCTTGTCTCGACTGATCGATCGAAGAAATCGCCCGGCAGCAAATAATAATAATACAGTGTAATGAAGGTCACAGTTGAATGTTCTTTAAATTCGGTCCATTGGTTACAAATCAGTCAAATCGACCGATCATGTTGGCATTGCTCCAGGGTTCGATATTGATATTAGAAAATATTTTATTTGTTTCGAATTTATAAGTGCACCGGTGCCGAAATATAAATTACCTGGGTAAATTGAAGATTTATTGAAATGCTATAAATTATTCTTAGAATAGTGCTGTTTTTGATAATAAATTCAGCGATTTGTAATTGGCACTGGAAATTATGGTAGTTCGTATTCTGTATCCAAGGGGTACTAATAGAAATGTCTCGTTTTGTCTGTGTTCTGAAGAAATTTTTCTACATTGGGTTAGTAGTCAAAAAATGCGTTTAAAAACATTTGTGATAATTATCTGATAGTTCTTCAAATAAAATTATGCGAAATTTGAAACAATAGTGGTTTACTATAAAGTTACTTGAATGCCTCTCACCTCTTGAATTACATTGCTTCAATATTCTTATAATATGATTTAAATTACTATAAAATTATAATAATTATATATGAAAATTTTTTGCAGTGAAATTTATTCAAAAATGACATAATTTCACACAAGCAAAGTAACAAACCATAATATTTAATTGATTTTGAGATAATATAATTTTAATTTGTTTGATGAAGGTATAAACATTTTTGGTTTGTTTGTTTGTTTGAAAAGATTCATTTATTCAATAATATATTACATAAAAAATGTGAGTAATTAGGATTTTGTATATCTATCTTATGATAATAATGCAATTCATTAATAAATAATCATTTGAAACAATATTGATAATACATATTAAATAAATTAAATAAATAATGAAAAAAAACAAAGACCATATTACAATGCTAAGTATTTTTGGTAATTGTGCTTGATATCGATTTTAGTGTGTCGTTTGCAAAATTACATAATTTTTACGTTTTAATTTTTTATTCATTTTTTTATCATGAAACTATACATTTTTTATTTCTAATTATTTTACTATCCTGATTGAATGCCCCAAAGTTTGATGGAATTTGCCAACACACTTTAGTACATTAAAAAAAAAACAGGGCCTCTCAAAATATACTAATTCAAAAATTTTAGTTCAACGTTTAACAAGAAGTCCAAATTCTTAAAATTTTGGAATAATTGTGCCATTATTTTTCACTGTGGTCTTAGAAATGTTATTTACAGCTATTTATACAAAGTTAAATTAAATAAATTTAATAAAAATTAACCACAATAACCAAAAAATTGTCACAGTTTTACTAAAGCTCTAGTATGCACCTGAAAGCTCAAAACTTTCAAACTACATGGAATAAACTTTATTTCTACCTTTTTCAACTTTTAACTTTAAAACTTGGGGTATTTGTACCATTATTTTTACTGTGGTCCTAGAAATGTTATTTACGGTTGCGGATTCAGAGTTTAATTGAATATAATGAATAAAAATTAACCACAATTATAGAAAAAAATTCAATTTTGGTAAAGCTCTAGATTGCACTTAAAAGCTCATCATATTCCGAACTATATGGAATAATTTTATTTCTAACTTTGTTTATAATAGTTACAAAAATCACCCCATTTTGGCCTGACGTTGAGTTCTGAGATACATCTACCATATATGTATACTAGTTGACCCGACAAACGATGTCCTGTGCCCACGTCTACAATTCATGTTCCAGATTTTTAAATATCCTATCCAATACTTTTTGAAATTCTATTTAATATTTTGCTTTTGATTATGTGATGTATTTTTGATTATAGCATAACGTACGTATAGTATTGGAAAATGCAGGTTTTTAAACAGTATAAGAAATTTAGAAAGAATTATTATAGTATCACGTTGGATTTTTTCCACTCAAAATAATTGTTTCCGTAATAATTAGAAAAGTTCTATTAAAAATATGATAAATCACATAGAGATATGCCAACCATTGGGTTGCCAGCTAAAACGATACGTAGTTTAGGAAAATCTTCACAGGATCTTATAGGACTCTAATATTCTAATTGCTGTCTAAAAATAAATAATCAGATATAAGAATATCAAAAAATATTCTTTTCTCATATATTTATTTTCATATCCTGGTAATTATTTAAAATTAATTTTTTGTATACCTACCATAATATAGAATATCACTTTAAAATATTGTTTGATTGATTTTCTCTTATATTTTTCATATTTTTAATTGAAAAAAGGAGCATTCAGTTAGATATTATTATTTTTTTAACAATTTACATTATAATTTTTATAATCTCACTCAACATTTAAGTTCAAATTTTAAGTGAGTTGACATTTTGACAATGAATTTTTTTCTAATTTTTCTACATTTTTTCCGTGATTTCTGTATTTATTCAGTTGAAAACCACTATTATATATGCATTCACATACTCTAAAATGATTTATCAAAATTCGAATAGTCGTTTAGAAACAGTTTAGTGACAACACACATATAGTGAATTTACATATACTATATATATATATATATATATATATATATATAAATCATAACCATTATGATAGATATGAATTAGTCCGGAACAACTATAACTATACTAGAGTGACGTCAATCTGGATCTTACATCTTACATCTGACTTAAGTAGTTCGGCGCAAATAATTTTCAACATTTTCATTTAATCGCCATCAATTCTGCACTGAGAAAATTCTATTTTCAGATTTCAAAACATGCAGTGTACTAGTTAAGAGTCATTATTGTGGAGTTTTCATTTAAACTTTTCTCCGACGTTTTATCGCTCCAAATCTAGGTTGCGGTGGAGTGACTGTAAACATTGCAATTAGTTGGAAAGCCGGAGGAAAAAGGAAAATTTATCATATTTTAATGAAAATGTAACCACCATATCATGATGGTTTTTAGGATATTATCTAACTTCTGAGCTGTTTTGGCTTTTTGTTACAAATAAGCAATTCATTGACTGCATTAATAAATATACTAGTCTTCAATTAATTGTTTAATTTATATACATTTTTGCAAAAATATTTTCCTATTTTCTTTTATCCTAATACTTCATAATTATTTGTATGGAATATTTATGAATATTGCTGTATAATCAGACAAGAGGTGTAATAATTAATTTTTATTTTTAATTTTTTTAATGAAAATATGTATAATTAAAGACATAAAAAGATGGCCTAATAATTATTGCATGAATCAAACTAATTGGTTGGTTTTTATTGGAGAATTATTTTTTTCATTGAAGAATTATATTTACTAATAATATAATTATTATGAATACATGAACATGATATATAGATTCAAACATAGGTATAATAATTTTGTTTTAGTTTATTATTAGAGATAAAAATAGTTGGTCTAATAGTTATTGCAAGATGCAAGCTAGTTCAGTTCTTAAAATTTTGAAACAAATATATTTAAATACATAAGTATGAATATCGATGATATTATTATTAAACAATGAAAAAATTATTTAGGACTCATTTAAGGGTATATAATAGTTACTTCAAGTTTATTATATAATTGTTCATTACTGTTACAAAAAGTTACTTATTTAGCAGTTGTAACAAATATAGTAATAAAAAAAAATCAAGTTTAAGTTAGAAGATACAATAATTTTCCTAATAATTATTTAAACTGGTTGATTTGTCATACCGTGATATTCCTGTTAAAAGAATGACAGAATCGTCATAGAGATTTCGACAACAAATTTTATGGTATCTTGAATGATTTGTATATTTACTATTTTATTAACTTTGTTTAACTATACTTGAGAAATTGATAAAGATTCGCTAGTTTTTTTCAAAGAAAAACCAACTTATCAGAGACAAGTCTACCTAAATATCATCAGATTTAATGCATTGGTAAATTAATATTGTTTTTGCAAAGATTTAGGTTAGGCATTCTGTTGTTTGTAAATATTTGCTAAATATTGAGCCAAATATAATTATTTATGAATATAAATATTTTTATATCCCACTATTTTGCACGTGATATACATAAAATTGAATGAGTCGCTGAAAAATAGATTATTTTATGCAATTGTTTACATATTTAATTTATTGCGATTAAAATCTTATTTTCATGGTATTAAGATATATTTATTAACTTATAGAATATCGTGATTAAATAAATTCAATTGTTCATAAATAATTGTTTCAGAATGAGTAAAATATTACTCTACTTGTCTTATTATCGCCTCATGCAATATATGATTTTAAATTTTCAATTAAATGAATATTAGAAAAATATTGTTTTATTTATAATAAATTATGAAATTTATGTGATTTTGTAGAATTTTCTCTATAAACTTTTACACTTTTTAAAAACCACTGTAATTTTAATAATTTTAGGAATTCCATTTAACACTCAAGAATAATATAGTAGTACAGCATTTATAATAAGAGAGACTATTATAGTTCTCTCAGTATAATTCTTATATTTAATATATATATATATATATATATATATATATATATGAGTACTATCAAATTGAGCTTTTTTGAATGTTAATTAAAAATGATGATACTAAAATTTTTCAAAATTTCTTCAAATTGAAATAAAAAATGATAAAGTACATGTCGATGAGTTGGTAGATTTCTCGTAATTATTACTTATGTCTTCCAGAAAATTTAAGGTTGATCTGATTAGTATATAAAAAATAGATATATTTATTGGTTTTGGTTTCTCAATCCAAGTCGGTATATATAGTTATTAAAACTTCACAATATCACAAGGAAATGTCAAGATGAGACAGTTTTGACAGTCGTCATGAATCAGTTTTGTTTGTGGAGGCCAAGGTCAAAATTCGTGAAACATTTGAGACATTTCGCAATTCTGCGGATAAGTTTTTATTGATCTAAACTATGAATCAATCATATATAAGTACTTCACTTGTCACTTGAAAAAGTCCTAGTAATAATATATTTTTTATATTCATTGTCGAATTTGGTACCATTAGAAGTAGAAATACCATTAGAGCTATAATAGGTTGTGTGATTGTTTCTATAATATAGAGTAATATATAGTAAGTTTCATTCTGGTGTATCTATAGTTCTATACTTTAGAATGTATAACAAATAACACAATACATACAAATGATGAAAAATAATTTATTAAATAATAATTATATTTTAAAGTCAATTATGTATATCAATTTGCAACTAATTTATTGATTGCCGGTGTCTATAACATTTAATATTTTATTTTTTTTATTTTTACAGGTATTCCAGTAAAAATGCATTTAGTGTAATAGTTTTTAATTATTTGTGAAAAATGTGGAAGTGTAATACAATAATCATAATTTTGGTGGTGGTCATATGCACTTGTGAGGCTTGGCGATATGATAGAAGTAAGTGAAATAAAATTTTACAAGTAAATACTAATTAGCAAATTCATAATTAATTATTATTATACAGTTAGATAACAAATTTTATATATTATTCAAAAATATATAACCAAATATTATTATTATTATAATGCTACTATTAAGAATTTTAATTTAATAAGTATCCTTATATTATACATGTTATAAAGCATTCTCTTTATTCTCTAATCCTCTTATAAAAATATACAAATATATGTTACAAAAAAAATTATCTCTATGAATGATTATAATGAATCTTCAATTTTTTCAGAACCAAAGGTTTACGGTGACAAAATACCTTTACGAGGCCTAACTCCTCGTTTTAGAGCTTTACAAAAGAAAATAGTCCTTTATCATAATTTCTTTAGGACGAAAGTTGATCCTCGGCCTGCAAACATGCTTAGGATGGTAAGGATAATACTTTATTTTTTATTGTATAATAGATTTGCTATTTAGGAAATTTCATTTTGAATTTTTTTTACCATGAATTCAAAATGGTTTAGCAAGACATAATATTTGTATTTCTAGTCTAGAATGATTTGTACTTTTCCAAATTTATTTATAGTGTATTTAATATCCAAGTGTATATAACAGTTTTCACTACATTTTAGTAAATTTTATCTAGTTTTTACTAGTGTAAACATATTATAATGTCCGGAATGAAAATAAAAAGTTATTTGAAGAAATATAAAAAATGTACTAGATCCCTTGATTATCTGTATATACCAAAGTGTGCATTTCAACTGCAAATTATTCAAAATTTTAATATCCAAGTACATATAACAGTTTTTACCAGATTTTAGTAAATTTTATCTAATGTTTGCTAATGTATAGAATTTGGATTTTAATATCCGAGAAGAAAATTAAAAGTTATTTGAAGAAAAGTAAAAAATTGTGCCAATTTATGTAAAATGGAGCTTTTTCATAAGTTCAAAAAATTTCAATATAACAAGTCAAATAAGACTATGGACATTAAAATTGAAATAACAAACTTTTTAACATATTTTTTTTAACTAATTTGTATCATGCTTATTGAAATCCTAATTAAAATTCAATAATTAATTTATCTATTAGTATATTACTTATCCGGTATCTATTAATGTATTACTTAATTTATCAATCATTATAATTAGTCGAATGCAATTAACATTTTCTGGCTTCGTTCCAGTTTCTAAGATTGATTTCAATTTATTTTTTGAAAATCTCTCGATTTGAATCGACCGCCTATTTGTTGTCTGAAGCAAAGGAGTATCGACTCCAGTTAGTTAAATATATAATAATTCATGTTAATAAAACAGTCACTGTGTACCATTACCATTCTCTTTCTATTTATATATGTAATATATATCTGTCAAAAATAAAGAAATAGATAAGCCATAAAGCTTTATTGCACCTTGTAGGTGTTATTTAAAACCCACTCGGTGCGGCATGTACGTACTAATGATGTTTGACAGGTGTTGGAAACCCATTGTAATTGAAATATATGGATAAAAATTACCAATACATATTTATAGACACTAGTATTTTTAATTTTAATAAAAATGGTAGTATGTCTGTTTGTGTGTGTAACAATAAATGCAATAGGCGTTAAAAGTTCTTAGGTTCAACCCCGGACAGGTTTACGCATATTTTTATTGAAACCAAGTAGTAAGAGTTGGCCATCCCGAAGATTTTTCAGGTCAAATTTTTATGAGCATATCAAAATAGACAAAATCCTAAATTTTCATCCTCTTACCACAAATCCCTATTTTTTAAAAATTATTATAGAAATTATATATCATTTTTTATCTCGATTTTTGTCAGTGAACGTTTTTGACTGAGTTGTGATTGAAATTTTTTGAGCTTATGAAAAAACTCCATTTTACATAAAAAAAATAATTTTATCAAGGTCGAACTCTCACTTTTTTTGATATATTGGATCAATTTCCTTTTTTTTTAATTCGTGTTTGGAAAATACATGCTGCAACTTTCAATTTGTACAGAATAATAATTGTAATTGAAAATGGCTAATGTACAATATTAATAAAAAAAACTCAATTTTTACTATCCGACCATTTCAATCCCAGCATTTTGGATTCCAAATACCATATTGATTATTTTTCATTCAAAATTGATTTTTTTGGAAAAGTAAAAAAATTAGCTTAGCATATATATATATATATATATATATATATATATGTATATATATGTATATATATATATATATATATTCCTCGCTCATTTCGTTACGGTACGGGAAGTTCCAGTAATTTGCCTTAAGGCGCGATGCTATACACCACTAGTTTCAAATTTATATAATCTCCAAATATAATAAATAAAATTTTATTACAGTATTAAAGTAGTCACGTTGCTATAACTTTATAAAATATTTTCTCTACTTTGATGTGGATAATTATATACTTTAATAAAAAAGAGTAACGTGCAATTTGTGGTAAATTCTCCTCTCACCAGTCATTCCAACTACTTAAAATATCGACTCTAGTTCGCATGCCAAACAATTCAATTTATTTTAATTTGACTTCATTACCTACTTACGAATTTATCTAAACAAACTGTTACAAGTAGAAAAAACCATTGCGCCATAAAATGCGCCATTAAGCAACAAAACTGCAATGTAACAATTTGTCCAAAGAATTGGATAAAAGCCAAAATGTATTGAATTTGCTAATTTTGAAATGCACGTATACTACAAATAAATAAAACAGACGTATAACATATGTGCTACACGTGCTCCAGAATGTAATTTCGATCGGATCACAATCAAATCCTTTGATGAGACGCAGAGATAGAAAACAAATAGTAAAGGAAGTTTACTATATGAAATAAAACAAAGGAAACATACAGATCCACAGTAAAATATTTTGAAAAATAATTTATTACTTCATATATTCTAAACATCTTAAAATCTGGGTATTCATAAAGGCGACACTACATACTAATAACTAGTAGACAACTGCAAAATATTTTTTTAATTTTATTTATTTAAAATAAATAAAAATTTAAGATTGATTAGAAATCCGAACAGATAATTATCATACTTAAATTTTATTCTTACATTTAGAAAATATAAATTGTCAATATCAAAAATTATTATGGTAAATCAATATCCATGCAGTAATAGCAATTAGTTGTAGTTGTAATAAAAATGTATATAATTTAGTTAATTTATTTAATACATATTCTACGTGATTTTATTGTTTTTCCTCTACTAATAAATCTTATTAACTTCCCGTAGGGTAAGTTATAGTAATCGTCCAAAAATCGAAATCAAAATTTTTTACATTTCTCGACGTTTTGAAGGTTTCTGAGTATTTTGGCATACCTCAGAAAAAATGGATGTGTGTGTGTGTGTGTGTGTGTGTGTGTGTGTGTGTGTTTTGTATGTCCGCTTTTTTTCGTCCACGTTTTCGGGCGCACGGATCAACCGATTTGAATGGTTTAAAAAACATTCGATTCCTATTGATAGGGAGATGTGCTGATTAGTTTTTGGCAAAGGCAGGTCCAGCCGTTACGGAGATATAGAGCAAAGAGTGCAGAAAATAGAAAGCGAGTTTTTGAGGGAACGGATCAACCGATTTGAATGGTTTAAAAAACATTCGATTTCTATTGATAGGGAGATGTGCTGGTTAGTTTTTGGCAAAGGTAGGCCCAGCGGTTCCGGAAATACAGAGCTAAATGTTAAAAAAATGGCAGTTTTTGAGAGAAATAAGTGTCCGATTTAAATTACTCAAAGAACTTTCTGCTTGTTTCAACAAAATAATTGATTTTGGAAAAAAAAATTTTTGTTTCTAATTTTTTTTTCAAAAATTTTTTTTTTGTAATTTTGGATTAAAAATTCAAAAAATCACCCAAGCTAAGCACAGTCTGAGCGCCACTCTGGTACAAATGTTTACCCAAGTGCGTTTAGACTGTTTATGTACTGGGGCACTTTTTCAATTTTGTGAAAATTATTGAAAAATGTGAAATTGCCGCCAAGCTAAGCACAGTATAAGTGAAAATGTCGCACAGAATTATTTGCAAATGCGTTTAGGCTGTGACTATGCGGGAGCACTTTTTCAATTTTGTGGAATTTTTTTTTTTTTTTGAAATTTGATTCGAAATGAAATGACGATTGTTAATGTTCTGGAGATGATAAATTGATTTATTTATAATTAACTTTCCGTAGGGTAAGTTATAGTAATCGCACAAAAATCGAAAATGAAAATTTTTATATATCTGTTCGTTTCAAAGGTTTCTGAATATATTGGCATACCTTAGAGAAAATTGATGTATGTGTGTGTATGTGTGTGTGATACAAATTTTCGTCGACGATTTCGGGAACCGGGATGAAGCAATTTGAATAATTCAAAAAACATTCGATTCGTATTGATAAGGAGACGTGCTGATTAGTTTTTGTCAAAGGCACGTCCGTTCCGAAGATATGGGGCAAAAAGGGCTAAAAACGGTAACTCAGTTTTTAAGAGAACGGAGCGTCCGATTTGTATAATTCAAAAACATTTTACTTGCATTATCAAGATGAAGATTTGATCAAATTTTCATGAAAATAGGTCTAGCGGTTTCGGAGATCTAGTAAAATAAGTAAAAAAAAAATAATATTTGGCGGTCAACAATAATCATTAGACATTAGACATATGCACACCAAATTATCAGATATTTTATAGAGATTTTAACAATAAGTATAAGTTTTGTTAACATTCCTATGGGTTCCGTACCAATGTTTATTCGTTAGACGGCGACGCGGCGCTTACGCGCTTCGATATTTAGTCTCTATGCATTAAAGCAGTACGATTGCTTTGAAAAAAAGTTCAGAATTTCCAAAATATTTCAAAATAAATTTTTCAACAAAATGTTAGTTTTTGTCAAAAATTTATATAGTTCCTCAAAAATCTATTTTTTTTCAGAGTAAATTTTTTTAAAAAATGTTAATCTTTTCAAAAAAAAAATAATTTTTGGTACGGGAAGTTCCAGCAATTTGCCTTAAGGCACGATGCCATGCGCACCACTAGTTTATCCTTCTCATTTATTTATCTATCAGAATTTTATAGAGCAAGGAAGGAAATAATAAAATAAATAGTAAATGTGTCTTCTTGAAACAACACTCAAAATTATGTAGATTAAGTAATCAAAAAGTTTATTTGACAAGATATAATAAAATTTGCTAATGTTATTTATATTTGTATTTCAATGCCAGACCTATAATTAAATATATAGTTAAAAATAAACATTTGCTTTAATACTATAGTGGCTTAGTGCAATCATGCTATAAATCTATTTTATTTAAAATTGAGTTAATTATAGATGGAGTGATGTAAATGTAATTATAAATAGTAACATGAATTTTTAACTATTTATAATGAAATAAAAAAAGAACTAGTGGGGTGTATAGCATCGTGCCTTAAGGCAAATTGCTGGAACTTCCCGTACCGTAACGAAATGTTCGAGAAATACTGAATGTTTTCAAATAGATTATTGTAACGTTGTCTAATATTTATAAGAATTATATAAACTTGTTTAAAGTATGTTAGAACTTAGTCAGAATTAAAATTAAAAACTGAATTTTCGATATACAAAAAAACTATAAAAAAAGAAAATGATACAATTTTTTTTCCAAAATCAATTATGTTGTTAAAACAAGCTGAAAGTTCTTTGAATCATTTAAATTGGACGCTTAGTTCTTTCAAAAACTGCCATTTTTTGCACATTTAGCTCTGTATCTTCGAAATGGCTGGGCCTGCCATTGCCAAAAACTAATAATCACTTCTCTCAATCATTACTAATTGATTATTTTTTGGATCATTTAAATCGGATACTCCGTTCTCTCAAAAGCTCGATTTGTATTTTCTGCACTTTTTGCTCCGTATCTCCGTAATGGCTGGACCTACCTTTGCCAAAAACTAATCAGCACATTTACCTATCAATAGGAATCGAATGTTATTTGAACCATTCAAATCGGTTGATCCGTGCGCCCGAAAACATTTTTTTATAAATTTAATAACATATTAAATACTAGTATTTTTTAAAAATTATCTATTATTTTATTATACAGACATGGCACAAAGGAGCAGCTCGAGCAGCCCAACGATGGGCAGATCGATGTCTACTTTTAACCCACGATGACGCAATGGGTCGCTGGGACGAAGACTTCGGAAGTTGTGGCCAAAATATATTTGTTTCTTCACAACAAGTACCATGGTAAGTGTATTATAATCTAACATCTATATTAAAAAAATAGAAATTGTTACAAACTTGCGCAAATCTCTTAAAAAAATACAAAATTTGTCGTCACTAATGTTTGCGTATGAATAGGCTAGAGAGAACATGATAGTCATTTGTTTTAGGGCAGGTTTATATTTATAGTTGCGAGTTTTATAGAAAAATGCAATTTACAAATATCACATATATTAAATATATTTTCTATATATAATTTTTTATCATCCTTTGCAATTAAAATTATGATTCATCTTATCTCGTACCTATAATTGACATCTTATCTTGGCTTGCTGACCGAGCAAGTCGCAGTTTCAATTGTTTACTTGAGTAAAGTCAACGACATCTTCGACAACAACAATGGTCAATTCTTGAGAATCGAGATGAACTTGTTCAGCATCTCTTGGTGATCGTTTAAAGGATGAAATTATAATAACGTATATGTATGCGGAAATTTGTTTTTATTGTATCATTGTTGCATGAAGTAAATTGTTGAATAAATTATCACTTGGTCGAATTTCTAAAAAAATTTTGATTGCTTTGGTTTAATTAACTAAATTATATACATGATTATTGATTTACCACAATTTGTTTTTTGATATTGACAATTTATATTTTTACAACGTAAAAATAAAATTTATGTATGATATATCAAAAATATAAAATTAAAAACATTTACTACAGTTGTCTGCTTAGTTGCTAATATGTAGTGTCGCCTTATTGAATAGCTAGATTTTAAGATTTTTAGAATATTTAAAGTAACAATTTTATTTTTCGAAATATTTTACTTTGAATCTGTATATTTCCTTTGTTTTATTTTATATAGTAAACTTCGTTTACTATTTGTTATCTATCTCTGGGTCTCATAAAAAAAAATGTTTTTATTGTATTATTGCTAGATGTGCGAGATGAAGTGGATTGTTAAACAAAATTTATCAAAAAATGTTAATTATTTTGGTTATTTTTCTTGGTTTTTAATTGATATATCTTCAATTTCGATTCAATTTCGATTCAAATATTTTTTATCATTTTATACTCATTATTAAATTTTAAGGATATGTTTAGGTTGGCTCTCGGTAAGTTATTATATATATTTAAGTTTGATAGACATTTTAAACATCTCTTAGGGTAAGTTCTTGTAATGCAAATCGAAATTAGAAATTTTTGCATATCTTCACGTTTCAGAGGTTTCTGAATATTTTGGCATACCTTAGAAAAAATGGATCTGTGTCTGTGTGTGTTTGTTTATTGTATGGATACAATTTTTCGTCCACGATTTCCTGCGCACGAATCAACAGACTTCAATGGTTAAAAAAACATTTGATTCCTATTGATAGGGAGATTTGCTGATTAGTTTTTGGCGAAGGCAGGTCCAGCCGTTTCGGAAATACGGAGCAAGGAGTGCAGAAAATAGAAATCAAGTTTTTGAGAGAACAGAGCATTCAACTTGAATGATCTGAAGAATATTCAATTTGTAATGATTGGGAGAAGAGGCGATTAGTTTTTGGCAATGATAGGGCTAGCCGTTTCGGAAATACAAAGCTAAATGCGCAAAAAATGGCAGTTTTTGAGAGAACTAGGCATTCGATTTGAATGATTCAAAAAACTTTCTGCTTGTGTTGACGAAACGATTGGATAAAGAATTTTTTATCTTTTATTTTTTAATTTTTTAATTTTCAAAACATATTTATTTTTACTAAATTTTGTTAGCCTTAAGTACTTGTCTTAAGGCACGATGCCATACACCACTTGTTTATTTTATTTTATTATTGATGGCATCGCATAGATAAGTTTTATTCCACGCTTCAAATATCAAAAACCTCCGATTCAGATCAATAAAAGCCAATTGAAACAAATAATTCATTTTGACAAGATCGAAACTGCAGATATCACCTACTCCGACTTGAAAATAGCAATAAATAACAGTTAGAATAATTATCGGGTTAGTTCTAATTACTACAGAATGATTGAACCAAACCGCTTGTGTAGTACAAAAGTGCGTTATATAATCTGTAACTAACATTATTAATTACTTGGGCTCATCTTGTGGCTTGGAACGTATCTTTTGCCATTATTCAATAAGATATTTCATATTTCTCCATTGACCTCTGTATAATATCGCAATCACTTAAACGATGCACCGACGGAATAGTCTGAGAGCTGGGGTAAAATTGTAAAATAGAAATTGAAAACAGTGGGGGATACTGGGTACTTTTGTGTTTAGTGACAGTCTTCATAACAGCTAAACTATACTGATTTTGAGAAAGAGTTTGAGGGGTGAAATATGAAGTATGTTTTTTTGAACAAGTTTACATTATGCTTTCAGTCAGCCTTATGTTGACATGATCTGTAGACAGCTTTACTTTTAAGGAGCCAAAAGTAAGGTGCTAAATTATGAATAGTCACCAAAATGTTAGCACTCTTTTTTTGCACTTTTATACTAATTTATTTTCATATTACCACTGGCTCTTTCTCTAAGTTTTAAATCGCCATCAATCATAATGCACAGATGATGGGCCTGATTGCGAGTCTGTTCCATTTCTCATTCGATCCAATACTTGCAAATGAAGGCAATTGATCTATTCTATATATCACATGTGCTACTTCTGGCAGATTGCTACAATTGTAGATTCTTTAATTTCATAACCATATAGTATATAGTACTTAAAAAGTAGCATCGGTATCTATGTCACTTCAATTCGTCTATTAATTTTTACTTCAGATATAATACAAAAATAGGTTAGGGCAGAGGATGATGAATATCATGCTGAATATCTTTGGAAAAAAGTTGGAGTAGACACAAAAACTGTTTCATTTCGATAGATATTTTGGAAAACAACTACCATAATAATTGTTTGGATTAAAGTTGAAAAACGTTTTTCGCTTTCGCGCAACTTTCAGATCACATTCCAATTTTTTTAGTTTTCTACCAAATAGTTATAAGTTTTTTATGACAATACCCATAAATCTCAATTCTATAACGTTGTCAAGAAAAACAATATCAATTTGTAAGGACTTTCAACCAAAAATAACATTTTGGTCTGTGACTTGAAAGTCAGACAATTCATTTGTACCAAAATAATTGTGTAAACAGAGTATTTTATTTCTCATTTGCATATACAGGCTTTTATTATTTTAATTTCCTATATTTTTAATTAAGGAAGATAATTTTTGGAGAAAAGGAGTAAGTTTTGAATTTTGCATAAAAAAGATATAAAAACTGAAATAGACACAAAATCTGTTACCATTTTGATAGATATTTTGCAAAACAACTACCATAATAATTGTTTGGGTCAAAGTCTTCACAGGGTTAACCTTTTTGGGCTCGCGTTACTTTCAGAATGCATTCCAAAATGTTTAGTTTTTTACCAATTTTTTTGTGAGATGACCCATAAATCTCAAGCCAAGATAAACAATATCAATATTTAGAACCTTTGCTGAGGTTAGTTAACCTAAAATTACATTTTCATACACAGAAGTGCAAAAATTATAGGCATCTGTGACTTGAAAGTCTTACAATTTATTTGTACCAAAAAATTGGTTTAAACAAAATATTTTATTTCTCATTTGCATATACAGGCTTATATTATTGTTAATTTTCTATATTTTTAATTAAGGCTTATAATTACTTATCTTTTCAATTTTCCTTGTTTTTTTTTTGGATTTAAAACAAAAAATCAGCCCATAGAGGGTTATGTTAAAACATCTTATTTAATTTATAGTTAAAAATCTACGACTTCTTGTTTGACACAATTTTTTAAACAATTATTTTAAGGAAAAACTTCATTAGGCATATGTTATTAAAGTTTGCAATATATCCAGATTGTACTTACATTTAATTTTATTTTATTATTACGATGTGTGAATATATCGAGCATTCCTTGCATTCCATTAGAAAATATTAAATCATTTAATCTGCCTTTGCCTTGAAAAAAAAAACTATGATACAAGGACTTATTTGAGTATGATGATTCAGTTTTAGTTGAATGAACCAGAACTTAGTTAAACTATTGATTTGTCAAAAGAAAAAAAAATGTTGGTGTACAAAATGTAAATTGTAGATAATTATTGTAATAAACTTGTGATCAATATGATTACATATCTGGATAAAAATAATGGAAAATATTTATCATAAAAATTTGCATGATGCTTATTGAATACCTGTGTAACTTGTATTTTATTATACGTACTATTTTACAGTTGTTACAATTTTACATAATTTATTTCATTTTTTTTAACTTTAGAAACAAAACTTAAGTCATAAACCACATTTGACATGGACATACACCAAAACATCATTAATATACAGGTAACTGCTGTCTCTTCAAACTTTAAAAACGATTCATCAACTGGACTGATGTAAGATTTTTTTTGACTTTGTTTGATATCCAGGCTACACAAACTTATTAGTTGATTTTTTTTTTATTCATTATCAAGTCACAATTCAGAAATAAATAATAAAATCGAACAGATAAAAATTTGTGTTTCGTAAAATCACCTTGCATTTGCCTTGCTTTTCTCACTGGTTCAGTTATATTGATTTTATTACTGAAATCTCTGTTATTTCTTTTACTTGTATTAATTTCTTATTATTAAAATACATTATCTAAGGAACTTCGGGTCAATATTTATTTCAATTTCCATCAGTGTTCCAGATTTGCATACCACTTATAACTTAAAAAGTACCTACATTCTTCTATGACTATCTCATAAGTCTCATAAGAAATATGCTAAGTGGACACTTGTTATCCCACAATATGTAAATTAATCACTACTGAGAGACCAGATGTCTTTTGTATATTAATTTTATTTATGCATTACTATTATCATATCAATATAACTAGTTTTAGATTAATTAATTACCGATTATTCTAAACAAAAACTGTCAATATTAATAATGGAGAGATGTGAGGTGATAAGATTGATCAGTAATTGAGTTATTTGGATTATTGCTTTTTAATATACATAAACACAAACACACATGATATTTATAAATACAATATTTAATATTGATTATGATACTAAAATTTATGTAATATGATTTACAAGAACACAGAGCTTTTAGCCAATTATTGATGATAGTGTAGTGATTCTTATTAGAATCCTACAAATAATTACATTCTCATTAGAATCTTTCAACTAATTTGGTATTGCATAAATATATTATATTACGCGTTTTAACATATACAATTTAATATTCACTATTGAAATATATGATTTATTTCACTTTTATTACATTTATTCTACTTATAAAGTTTATTCTACTTTTACACCTTCAACTTGGTACATGAATGATGTATTTTAGCATACATTTTTATAATTTTTTTTATTGATTAAAATCACTAATAACCTTAACATTATATTTCCAATCTGGTGCCCTCGTTTAAAATAGCAGTTGACTTTTAAATGATTTGCAATTTTAGTAATTAATCCAACTATTGCAATGACCTAATATAAATGGTGCTTGAATTATTACTTTCAAATGGAATAAATGTTTTTGGTGCCTCAGGATAGTAACATTAATATTAAATAATAAATTATAATGTGATTGTTGATATATATATATATATATATATATATATATATAGTTGAGAAACAACAAATTCTAATGGCATTTATCAGAAACTATTAGTAAAGTTTTCTAGTAAAACTTTAGGATTGTTCTCTATGTTCTCATGATTTAGATATTTATTTTTTGTTGAAAGACGTAGAAAAATGTTTAGTTTTTAAATAAGACATAAATGTTATTTATAGCTCAATTTGATACTTGTTTGATAATTTAAAAAAAATCGTGGGTTAATTTATTCTTTAGTATATAAGTCTGTCAGCATAAAATTCAAATAAATAAATGTTAAAATAGTTTTGATCATAGCTAAACAATTCTAGAAAAAAAATTAAGTGATTATTTTGATCCAATTAGGAGGTAAAAAATGTCTAATAAATTTATGACCCAGATTTGAATTCAAATTCCACTTATTTAATAAATATCACTTATTGATTTCTTCGATATTTTTCAAGAAGAATACATAACAATTTAATATATTCGATTGCTAATTATATATCAATACATTTTATTTTGAACTATAATTCACACACTTATAAAATTATTAATCAAAATGATATCAAATTAATTAGAGCATTTCCATAAATAATTAAGTAGTTTTAATTAAAATTCAATACTATGTAATTATACGATGATTTTATTAGACATCGACCTATATTTTTTACACTTTTTTTGTTTATTTATATAAAATCATGCCATACTCAATCTAATTTAGAGCTAATTTCTCCAACTATAAAAAAAAATATTGTTTGAAATTGATCCCCAATTTTCTAATAGAATTTCTAATAATCAAAGTTGTATTTCTAATAATTAAATAAATCATAGGAAATCACTCCTTGTTTCAAAAAAAAAAAAAAAATATGACATACATGCAAAAAGTGCATATTACACAATAAAAAACTTCCTGTAATTTCTCTTATTATAAAAAATAATAATTTTATATTAATATTGATAATATTATATATATTTTCTTGATGTTAGAAGCAGTTACAGATGTAGAATTTTGTTGGCTTTTGTTGAAATACTCTATCAATATATTTTTTAACTATTTAAGAATAATATTTTGATTAATTTTTTTTGCAGGTTCTTTGCAATGAAGACATGGTTCTTGGAAAAAAATAATTTCACCTATGGTTCCTCTGGAAATAAATTAGAAGTCATTGGACATTACACACAACTCGTATGGGATTCCACTCACAAAGTGGGTTGTGGATTTGCAAAATGCTTTAGAGGAGGACCAAAGGATAAACCATACTACAATTACGTTTGCAACTACTGTCCAATGTAAATATCAAAAATAAAAAAAAACAATATAATAATGCAAACAATAATACGTTTTATAATTTTCATTTATCTTTTTTAGTGGGAATGCCAAAGATCGTTTAGAAAGACCCTACAAACGTGGTGAATTTTGTGCATCTTGTCCAGGCCAGTGTCGTGTCAAAAAACTCTGCACAAATAGTTGCCCATATGCAGATTTGTGGATAAACTGCCGAGAACTGCATGCGACTTGGGCAAATTGGCTTTGTAATACGGAGACACCTCAGGGTAGGGATCGAAGGCACAACTGCAGGGCGACTTGCACATGCAAAGGAAAAATTTATTGAAGGAATTAAAAAATTGAGATTGAATGATTTATGCTGGTTGAATGATTGTTTTTAAAGGTAATAAAAAATTGCCTGCAAGAGGTAGAGGAGTGATTCGCAAAAAATATGGATCATTATATTGATTGTGTGGACAGCATTTAGGGAGTATAGATTTAAAAATCAAATAAAATGAAAACATTTTTTTTGATACTCTGGAAGTACTTGTTGAAACATTTTATCTTGGTCATCTAAGTTTTCCAAATTTTCATGAAACAATTATAAATTTATTTTATATTTCAATTAACCAACATTGTTGCAGACTATGATACATTTTTAGAGAACTACTTTTAGTTTTAAAGCCAACAGTTAATATTTTTATATTTATAATTCATTAGTCACAAACTGACTAAAAAGAGTAATCTTTTATTTTTTTCTAATTTTATTTAAAAACTTATAATGCAGTTTATTTTATATGGCAGTTTTAATTTAATTTAGCTAAATTATTTCAATGGATAACGATTTTCATTACAAAAACTTGTTTGGATCTCAATCGCTAAAATACATATATATTTTGTAATTAGTTCATAAATTGATCATTACAATAAATTTTAAATATGTTCTTCCCAATTTGTTTTAGTATTAAGCCATGACAGAGATTTTAAAAATCGTGCCATTATTTTCGATGAAATATTTTGTTTATCGTAATAAATAATATATTATAGTATTTAATAGTTATTAATAATATCATCATATAGAAATATGATTTTGAGCACCAGCCATAGTATTAATATAATAATCATGTTATTTTTGTAGTAGTTTAGAAGATAGAAAAAAATCAAACAAAGCAGTTTCATTTGATTTGAACTGATTATATATTTATATAATTGAATTTAATTTTAATAAATATAATATTTTAATGTTCTTTTTTAATTTTTATTCAAAATTTATATCAGATGTACCAAATTCATATACTCCTTGGCAGAGTCTTAACAAGTTCTAAGAAACTTTACATGCTGAAATAATTTATTTAACTTTTTTATTAAAAATACATTATAAATACATTGAATTCAATGAAATAGCTATAAATTGCATATAAATTCAAATTATTTTTTCGAATCACATTTAAATAATTTAATTAATAATATGTAAATTTTTGCTCTTATGTATATATACTAATTATATTCGATTTACCAACAAATTTAATAGTCCTGGTAAATTTAATAACTTTGTTTTTAGAAATCAATTATATTATTAAGACTAAATGTGGATGTGTTGAGTAATTCATGTAAAAGAAAGTCTAACTAAATTTTAACAAAATACAGAAAATAATATAAAAAAGCAATGCTAAAAAAGTAAATCAAATATTTTCAAATATAATGTTGTGAGAAATAAAGATTTTGTTCAGCAGTACCATCTATAAACAGTTCTCGGCAGTTATTTATTTAAAATATCTTATTTATTATTACCTACAGATGACTGTAGTGTTCTTAATTTAAAAACTCATTCTTCAGAATATTGAAGAAATAATATTTCCCAGGAGTTCAGGAGTACTGAAGATCTTTTAGGACTTGATGGGGTACCACATATTATCCTGTTGAAAAGTAGGTATATAATAAACTAAAAATACGAAAATAAATTTAATGTTGATAAAAAAAATAGTAATATATAATACTCTTATTTTAGACAAATAATTCTGTATATATAAAAAATAAATTCAAATATAATTTAATATAATAGGTTTTGGTGTTGCCCATGAACGCAGTAAATAAATTTAAAAAACAATTACCTGCCTTTTAACTCTTCAAAGTGCCTTTATTATTAATTTTATATGAAAATTTCCTTCACAAGGACAGAAGAACAAATAATTATATATTCTAGTAAATTATAATTTATATTATATTGATTAAAACCAACCTTTAGGAAAAAATAAAAAATATTTATGCTTGACTGATTGATGACTCACTAAATAGGTACTTACTATTTTGTCTATTGCAACTAATCTGTATGAAATAGGAACTAGTTATCACAATGATAGATTATGAGTATGTGTTTAAGTAATTGAGAATTAATAATATGTAAAACATATCTGACAACAATACTTATATATTGCAACTATGTAGTAAAAATTAAGGAACATTATCTGATAACTTACAGATTACCCTTCAGATAGAATTTCCACTTGCGTGAAAAGTTGAATATATCTAAGTTAGTTATATCTGATTTAAATTATTTATTAGTCATTGGTATTATTTATCATAGTAAATCATCAATAGCTATTGTTAATGTCTAATCAATAGTCCATGGCCTATCTATTCTATCTACTATAGAGGCGAAATATGCCTCCGTCCGCGCCTGTAAAGAGCATTATTGTTCGCAAGTAGCATCCTGTTATTCAAAATACATATTTTAAATGACAAAGCATCATTCATGCGAATAATGGATGTCTATTCGATTCTATAATCATAGATTTATTCGGAAGAGCACCAGGTCACACGATTCTGTGAACTATTAAATGGCAAAAAGAGGTCGCAACATACTGTTGAACATCATATAAAAACATCGGTTCAGGTTCTTGTTATGCTAATTGTTTTGTTGGGACACGGGGTGAAACTAAGGCTTTTTTGGGATGAGATTTTAGTGGAAATTGATATATAATTTAATTATTAATTTATTAGAATCATTGTTATGTTTAGATTTTATTATATTCTACGAAGCCTTAGAAAACTACATATCGAACATACATTTATGAATTTTATAATAAAACCAGTATTTATTAATTTTTATGTGGTAGTTTTTGTGCACGTGTTCAAAAGTGATGTAACAATTTATTGTGAAATTTGGAACCTAGATATTTACACTGAATTTATCAATAACAAATGTGTGATTATATTACTTGATGTATTTAATACTAATCTCACAAGGAGTTGTCAGTGTGAGGATCACAATTGGATATTGTCTCCATTTGGATATTTTTTGTGAAATCATTACGATAAATATTTTATTAGAATTAGAAAGATTTTATTAGAAACTTATTCTTCTTATAATAACAAAAATAATTATTACCGACATAAACAGAACCAATATACATCTTTGATTACAATAAAATTAATATATCGATTTATTTCATTCAAATGGTAGTCTTATAATGGTTTTTGAAAATACTTAATGAGCAGTTTTTTTTTGGACATCTTATTGTCAGTATTAAGGTTGTAATGAGAAACAAATACTAACTATATCAGCAATATCTTATTGGATATATTTTGTGAAATCATGACCACTTTGTGATAAACAAAAGCAATTAATCAACTATACATTATTCTTTAAAATAAGCCAACCAAGTTGCTTTATTTTTTTGTTTCTTGGCAGTTCAAATTATTCATATATTAATAGTACCTATTCAAAAAGCGTTTTAATTTTTAATAAATGTTTTTTTCAATAGTAATTATCTCCAATATCTTACTGAATGCTGTTTGTGAAATCATTTGATCGTAAATAGCCTCATTTAATGATGCAATTTTAATACAGAGGATATCTTCAAAATTTCATTTCAAACATAGAATGACATAGTTTAAATTGTATTTCTTCAAAAAATTTAAATTAAAAAATATATATTAGTAGTAGTATAATAGATACCATTGTTTCTTTAATGTTGGTTATTTTTGTTCGCCTATATAGTTAATGACAAAACTAGGTTCTAAACGACAGAAATGGAACTATTATTCTATTCTAGTAATATAGTTAATAACAAAACTAGCTTCTAAACGGCAGAAATGGAACTATTATACTAAACTAAATGGTTGCTTTATTTTTTCAATTTATGGAAGTTATAATTCATCTATTTATTTATAAAATTAAATTTTTTCAGTGGTGAGTTACGTTGCTTTCAAGTGATACAGAACCTTGCAAAATATTGGTAATTATAATAACTCATCCGTAGGGTAAGTTATAGTAATCGCAAAAAAACGAAAATAATTTTTTTTTATATATCGTTTTGTTTCACAGGTTTCTGAACATTTTGGCATGCCTTAAAAAAATGAATGTGTATGTGTGTGTATACGTGTATGTGTATGTGTGTGTGTGTGCGGATACAAAGTTTTATTGACGAAATCGGTAATACGGATCAGCCGGTTTAAATGTTTTAAAACTCATTCGATTCCTATTAATAAGGAGATGTGCTGATTAGTTTTTGGACAAGGCAGGTCCTGCAGCTTCATAAATAAAAAAAATTTAAACTCATTTTAAAAAAAAAAATCAAAATTTTCAAAAAATTTTAAGACTTTTTTGAAAAATTTAATTTAAGTCACGATGCCATGCAATGCTAGTTGTAATATAACTTCGTTAACTCATTTTTCGACTTTTAAAATTTAATTTTAGGTACAAGAACTTTCAGCAATTTGCCATAAGTCACGATGCTTTGCAATACTAGTTGCACTATAATTTTATCCGTGCAAGTGTGAAAGGTGTCCCTTACAAAAAATGAGCGAAAAGAGTAGGATAGGTTGTTTCCGGCCCTCGGATAAAACACGTTGTAGCCGACATCCGGCGTCGGTTCATGCAGCGTGACCAACACACAAGAGAGCACCAGATCACTACACAAAAACACGAACAACAGGTAGCACAATGAATATTATGTACATATTTACAACTAGTTTTACATGGCGGCGAAGAGAGGACAGAGGATTTATATTTACTATGTACTCGGTACTATGTAGAAAATACGTGCGATTTTGCGACATCACTATATGGGCATAAACGCATTGTTAATGATGAAGACAGGTATGAAGACGATAATGGTCGTTAATGTAGTTTTAATTGTCCTGAAATAAAATGCATATGAGGTGTTAATCATATTGTTCTTGGGCTAATTACATTATATATATATATATATATATATATATATATATATATTTTGTATGATTCTGAATTTGATGTTGACATATGTATTAACAAAGTCTAATAATCGGGCATAACATCAAAAAAAAAAAAGAATTTCTTTCAAAAATTTATTTTTAATCCATACGTTTCGGCTATAATCCTAGCCTTCATTCAGTGGAAAAATTAGTTGATCTTAGTGTTAAATTGGAAAATTTTAATAATCCATGGTATTAGGATATGGTAATGCACTACACTATGTATTATAAACATTAACTTGAAATTACAACAATATTTTCACAAAATACTGATTTGAAAAAATCACAAATGGATAGTGTGTTATTTGTAGACTGGTTGAAGATGTAATGATGATTATACATATATATTTATTCTATATATATATATATATATATATATATATATATACTTATTTAGAATGTTTGAAAATTAAAATATTTAAATACTAAATATATTTATAAAATATTTATTTTAAATTACCTAATTTATATATCTAATCCATCGATAAGTTATTTCAGAAACTAATAATATCTCACACCATACAAACTTATAATTATATAGTGATCTAATTAAAATCGTACAATCTTCAGTTCGATAATAAATTGCATTTGTTTTTATACTTTTAACTAGTTATGTACATTTATACACTTAAAAAAAATAATAAAAAATATCGGTTTCCCCTAGAAATTCTTATTTCCCACATATTGTATTGAAGTTTCTTGTCTATTGATTTATAAATTAATAGTCTCTAGAACTTATTAATATTAATGATTATATTGTACTGTTTTGTCAATCCAAAAACTACTTATTCTTACATTCCATGAATCGAATAATTAAATGGCATTCACTTTTATAATAGTATTAATAAATATTTATAATAATATACTAATATACTGTGTATTAATAATAACATAAATTTACACAATAATATACTTCCTTAGGTATGTTTTATTCATAATGTTTAGATATTTACACTGAATTTTTTTTTATTTTGAATAGAATAAGATTGGTTCAATTAGTCCTATGGTTTTATATACCTTATATATCTTAAAACTATAATATGAATAATAATTATAATTATAATTAAAATTTAGGTAATGAAAATAAATTGAAAAATTTTATTAAGTGAAAAAATTCATTAATAGTGTATTTTTTTGTTATGTGTTTTTGTCATACATTGTATATAAACTCCGAACATGCTTTATATATACGGTTAAAATTAAAAACTATTAATTTTAAAAATAGCCAATATTATTGAAATTAGTACAGAGATTTTGACCTTAATTATACTTTAGGAGCACTATAAACATATTTTATATGCTAAATCAATTTAACAATTCGACTTATATTTGTTTTTGGGAAGTTCTTTTATTTAGAATCCGTAAATGTTAATATGCACCCAAAAATATTTCAATCTCATTGGGTAAAATAATTTTTGTACGGTCAACCTGACCTGGCCTGGCCTGGCCTGGCCGGTGTACCTTGGCAATGCAGGCAGCCATCAGGCATCAGTCATGCGTCGGACGTCGAAGTAGTATCAAGGGGGATACCTGCTCATAGAAAGTAAAATCTACAACAATTTTCTTTCAATTGTTTTGTAAACGCAATGGATTTATAGTTATGTGATTATTTAGACAAGAAGTGATGAGTTCTGTAATAATATGTATTGGAATTTTATAGACATTCAATTAATTTGATTAAATTTTATGGACATGCGAATTAATTTTAAAGTTTATGTGGTGATTTTGGATACGTTGTTTTTAAGGTACGTTCATATTTTTTAGACAATTAATTATTGAAATCTATGTATTCTTCATTTTTTGTAAATAAATAATTTTATTTTATTTTTGTAAATTATATATTTTATTTTGCTGAACACCAAATCAAATAAGTATATTTCGAGGTATTAATTTATAAATAAAAAACTAAGTGAATAATTTTGTGAGAAAAATGCTTCTAGTTTAAAAAAATAAATCATAAATAATAATAGCTATCCAGTACTTGACTATAATACTCAATTTTATATAAATATCAAGGGACTATTTCCATCTGTTTATATAAATTTAATAATAATGAAAAATATTGTTAATACTTTGTTAAACTATATATGTGATACCCATACAAAATTATAGGTTTTTTTTTAATTATTTTATCTTCATATTTATTTAATATTGTACACGCCAGAAGAAATTAATAAAATTAATATATTACATTTTTTGTTGCCTCATATTATTATTGACAATTTTAGATAATAGTAAAGTCATAGCTTAAATTATCTGTAAAAATTTAATGAATATTAATTAAGAGTCATTATTCTTTAGGAACAAAAATAAATCATTCAATGTGTGATTTTGTAACCTCATAAAAAAAACTTAGATATATTAGATCTTGTTAGCTTATCACTAATTTATTTTAGCAGATTTTTTCCTAATTTGGAAATTAGAAAAATAAAATAAGTTGTCGAGATCCTCTCACTAATATATTTTATTATTTGTTTTCTAATTTGGAGTTAAAATTTCTAATTTCATATATAATTCATGTCATCAAAATATATTATTCCATATTATAAATCAAAATTTCACCATTATTTTTTCTCATACAAAAATATTTTATGTCATATCCATTTTCCATGTAAATTTGGAGGTCGTTATACCCAAGGCCAAATATAAATGATGTAATTTAATTTTAAAATAAACATATATATCGTAAGAATTTCATAAGCTTTTCACGTTAAACTGGCCATATAATCAAAATACATGTATTTGTGATTTCAGCTTTATTTAAAAAGATATTTTTAAGAGAACACGTATTTAGTTCCGCTACAGGATATCAAATTAAAACAATAATCAAGCAAGTGGAACGGACGCTAACAAAATATAAGAAAATAATTATGCATTTCCACTTTTGCCAGAAACTTATACATAAAAATCGAATATAAAACAAAAACATATTAAGCACATTATTATTGTCATTTATAAAATTAATAGAAATAGAATAAATATTGTGTAATTTAAATGAAATTCAATGATTTACACCTTTTCCAGGACCCAAAGCACATTAACAGTATTTTACAGTTATTATTTACAAAATAATTTTGATAATGATATATTTTGAAATTTTATTTTTGAACATCAGGATTACATAATTTAAATGATATTGAATGATTTTTCAGTGTTTCCACAACCTAATATACAAAAATCAAATAAAAATTTATAAACACATTAGAAGTGTTATATCTTTGTTATTTAATAAAGTAAATTTAGTTATAATATAATTTGAAAATATTCAATGATTTTTCCCTGTTTCCAGAACCGTATTCACAAAAATCAAATATAATTTTTGATATTCAAATGATTTCCACTTTTTTACAGGACCTAATATACAAAAATCAAATATAAATTTATAAGCACGTTAATAGTCTTTCACAGTTATTATTTACAAAAGAATTTTGATAATGATACTTTTAAAAATTTGATTTTTGTAAATAGAATGACATAATTTAAGTGATATTCAATGATTTTTCAGTGTTTCCACAACCTAATACTCAAAAATCAAATATAAATTCATAAACACATTATTGATAGTCTTATGCAGTTGTTATTTAATAAAGTAAATTTAGTTATGATATAATTTGAGAATATTCAACGATTTTACCTTGTGTCCAAACCCGTATTCACAAAAATCAAATATAAATATTTTCTAGTTGTAATTTATTGATTTTAATTAAGTAATTTTAATAATAATTTCTTTTGAAATTTTGATTTATAATATGGAATAATATATTTTGATGACATGAATTATATATGAAATTAGAAATTTTTACTCCAAATTAGAAAACAAATAATAAAATATATTAGTGAGAGGATCTCGACAACTTATTTTATTTTTCTAATTTCCAAATTAGGAAAAAATCTGCTAAAATAAATTAGTGATAAGCTAACAAGATCTAATATATCTAAGTTTTTTTTATGAGGTTACAAAATCACATCTTACTTAAAATTTACATGAAAATATTTAAATTAAAGTTGAAACTTATTTATGTAATATTGATTTAAGGAAGATTAAATTAAATTTAAATTAAAATAAAAATGATAAAATGTACATAAAAAGTAATAAATTTAATTATGTAATTAAGTTTTATTTAAGACATATTATTTTATTTCCTTATATAAATTCATGGTATCGTAACTAACTGCATATTCGAGCTTTTCGCTAGGTTGATTTTGAATATATTAAAAGTTCGGACGTTAGATAATCACCAAACCTCAACAACAATAAAATAATTCATAGATTTCCAAAGTTTTCTTGTGAGGTAGAAATTCAAGATATAAGAAATTTCAAGATCCAATGTCCAAAAGATTTGATGTACAGATGATAAATACAACTGTGAAAGAAGTAGATCCAAAATTTAAATAAAAGTATATTTATTATATAAATAAGTTTAAATATTGGGTTTTTCAGTTTTCTAATTAAATATAAAATAAAGATCATAAATAATCCGACTCCTAGATTAATATGTGTTTTCACTTTTTTATTCCATAGTTTTCCTTTTACATTTAAACTAGTTTTTTTACGCATGACTATTTTATTTACTATATTTTTTTCTCATTAATTTCACACTATTAAATAATTTCAGATAATTTTAACTAAATTTTTCTTAAACAAAAATATTATTTCCTCATCTTTTCTGTTCCTTGTATTTGTTGTTGATTTTCTGAATACTTTTTTCAATATTACTTACATTTTCAGGTGGATTTATTGTTTTTTTTTTACAAAATTTAACTGAAATGAATTACTGAATTCTATGTTTATATCATATATAAAGTTTTTTTGCAAATACATTTTTTTCGATCTTTTATTCGATATTGCTTACTGATTTAAAAGCATTGACTTTCAGTATTTTTTAAATAAATGGTCATTTTAAATAAAATATTAGATAAAAGATGTGAAACAGACAAACACATTTTTTATATTTTTTACAAATTTATTAATTAAAATTTGAAATTATTGCAACTATTTTTAGTATTTTTTAATTACTAGTAATTTTGAACAAACACTTAAATATAAATTGTAAAGTAGATAATTAATTTTTACAAAGTTTTTAATTTGAATTTAAAATTAATACACCAACTTTCAGTATTTTATTAAGAGTTTTTTTCATGAATTGCAATGGACGAATGAATTTAAATTTCAGATAAAAATTGTAAAATTGACAAATGATGTTATGATCCATAACTATAGCATATCAAAATTGGATTAATAATAAATGTTAGTTCTTTCTCATGTATTGTTAACAATTTATGCTATATTTTTTACATTAATAGATCAAAGAATACATGAATTAAAAAAAATAATAAAAAAAATATTGATAAGTCTCTTAACATTTTATACAATTTCCTTGTTTATATTTTGTAGGCATTGAAGTAACTTTGTGCATATCTAGTAATTACTAGATTTATCAACTATAATTTCTATTTCATTTTTAATAGTACATATTGCAATTCTAAAATATATTCAGTTTTATACTCATTTTTAATAGCAAACAAAAGTTCTTTGTCCTGGGGGCTGTAGTGCTCGAATTTCTTCTTTTACAAGGGTTAACCTTATGGCTTAACTTAGTGGGTTCGATATTAGAACCAATATACCTCTAAAAATTAGAATCAATCTAATATTTATCATATACCATTATAAAAATGATATTTAAAAAATACCTCTCAATTTTACAATTAATCTAATATTAATCATATACCATTATAAAAATAATGACATTATTGATGAACAGTAAGTTCCAATATACCAGTAAAAAGTAAGATATCACACAATATTATGTGTGACCCAGCACAAAGTATTAAATTTGTAGCGGCCTGTCAACACGCATCGCATCTCTACTTGACAGATAGGCTCATCTTAGTGTAAAGAAGTAAAAATGTCAGTTCGGATCTCTCTATTGTTTCTCCCCAGTCTCATGGCCAAATTATAATTCTCAAAACTTTTCCTTTTCATTTTAAATAAACTAATACTAACTATATTTTATAAATGATAAATATGATTACACATAGTATTGTCAATATTTAATCATACATAAAATAAACCAAATATAAAACATAATATATCGTGGAATTTGTTATGTCTACAATTTGGATCATTGTCTCTACATATTTATTGATACATAAAGACATCTATCAATCCATTACAATTATAAGGGTGCTCGAACATTCTAATAAAATTATTAGAGCCAGTGGTGCTATAATGGTGCTTTATAGTTATCGGTCACGGTTCCTCGAACTGCTCCTCATTGAATATTCCGAGCGGAGCACCTGACGCAAGGCAAGGCCATTGCCTTACCGGTACGCCACAAGAATATCTACGTATCTATATATACGAATATACACCTATCCTATACGAAACACTCCGTGGTCAGTACTGAAATAACTGAAGTACCCGTGAGAACCTCTTGGATGGGGAATAGGGCTACCATATGGCGCAGACCGGTGGACGTTGAAGTCTGCATTTAATTGAAAATTCATTTAATAGAAAATTAGAGCCATTTTTTGGTTTTTGTCAAATTACTCATAAATATCAAGGCAAAGCACCCCTTTTCAGTTAGATAGCAAGAAACTAGATAAAATTTACTACAATCCCCTGCCAACAGTTATATACACACTAGAGCTGTCAAGAACCGTCATTTTCAAGAACCGGTTCCAAAGTCCAAAAAGGACCCGGTTCCGGAAGAACCGTGATCGGTTCCAACCCGGAAAAGTCCGGCTACTTTTTTCTTATTAACTTCCCGTAGGGTAAGTTATTGTAATGGGCCGAAAATCGAAATTGAAATTTTTTACATTTCTCGACGTTTTGAAGGTTTCTGAACATTTTGGCATACCTCAAAAAAAATGGATGTGTGTGTATGTATGTGTGTATGTATGTATGGATACAAATTTCCAGTCACGTTTTCGGGCGCACGGATCAACCGATTTGAATGGTTCAAAAAACATTCGATTCCTATTGATAGGGAGAAAAAGCTGATTAGTTTTTGGCAAAGGCAGGTCCAGCCGTTACGGAGATAGGGAGCAAAGAGTGCACAAAATAGAAATCGAGTTTTTGAGAGAACGCAGTATCCGATTTGAATGATCTAAAAACATTCAATTAGTAATGATTAAGAGAAGTGTTTATCAGTTTTTGGCAAAGGCAGGCCCAGCTATTTCGAAAATACGGAGCTAAATGTGTAAAAAATGGCTGTTTTTGAGAGAACTAAGTGTCCGATTTAAATGATTCAAAGAACTTTATGCTTGTCTTAACAAAATAATTGATTTTGGAAAAAAAAATTTTTGTTTCATTTTTTTTTTTTTGATCTTTTGTAAATCGAAAATAATTCAGATTTTATTTTTAATTCTGACTATAGTTCTAATATACTTTAAACAAATAATTTCAACTTTGCAGTTCAGTTTATATAATACTTATAAATATTAGACAATGTTACAATATTTATAATAATTTATTTGAAAGCATTCAGTATTCCATGAACATTTCGTTACGGTACGGGAAGTTCCAGCAATTTGCCTTAAGGCACGATGCCACCCACCCCACTAGTTTTTTTTTTTTTAGTTTTTTGTATATCGAAAATATTTCAGATTTTATTTTTAATTATGACTATAGTTCTAATATACTTTACAAATAATTTCAACTCTGCAATTCAGTTTATATAATGCTTATAAATATTAGACAATGTTACAATATTTATAATAATCTATTTGAAAATATTCAGTATTCCTCGAACATTTTGTTACGGTACGGGAAGTTCCAGCAATTTGCCTTAAGGCACGATGCCACCCACCCCACTAGTTTTTTTTTTTTTAGTTTTTTGTATATCGAAAATATTTCAGATTTTATTTTTAATTATGACTATAGTTCTAATATACTTTACAAATAATTTCAACTCTGCAATTCAGTTTATATAATGCTTATAAATATTAGACAATGTTACAATATTTATAATAATCTATTTGAAAATATTCAGTATTCCTCGAACATTTTGTTACGGTACGGGAAGTTCCAGCAATTTGCCTTAAGGCACGATGCCATAATTGCCTCAAGACAGAATTCCACTTACAGCTAGTTTATTTATATAATTTAAAATTATGGATATTGCAGCTTGTAACTAATAATTTATACAATTATGAATTTATTATTCTATATTTTTCATGACTATTCTCATTTTTTTATATAAATTCTGCTTGTTATTCCGACTTGATTCAAAATTGGTGCAATCGATTCTCATCAGACTCTAATCATCGGTTTAATCTAATATCAAAAACGTGTTAGCAAAATTCTTGTTATCGCTTGATCTACAGGAAACTATTATAATTAGTATGTATTTTGGGCATCATTAAACGATTTTTTGTATATATTCTTGATATATTTATGCACATGCCGTAAATATCGTGGGAAACTTTGTTCGTGTAAACTTATGGGACATTACCTGCTTTACACGACGCATATAAAGCATTATTTTAAAAATTTAATACAACTGCATTATGCTACAAACCCATATAAGAATATAGAATATTTATTAAAGAATTCCACTTGTACTTTATCGTGATAGATTTAAACGTGGGAATCTATAATAACGTATGGCGCTGAATAAAAAACAAGCTGTTTAATGCATGATATGTTTAGATAGATCTGCATCCATGTGAAAGTTTTTTTTGCAGAAAACATGCTGAAGATTATGACCTAATTAAACAACAATTATAATAATTACACACGGGATGGACACATAGAAAAATAATAATTAAAAGTACTAAACATGTTCTACTCATTGCATAAGAAACCCTGACACAACTATTACTTTTAAGTTTTGATATGCAATACAATATATTTTACCAAAAATTTATTATTTTTAGATGACCCTGGAAAAAACACAATATATCATTTTATAATAGCATGACAAGTAAATTAAAAAAATTACGACAATGATCCTAGCAATGCCAGCTCTGACCTTAGACCAAAACGGTGGTAAAATCAATGCAGACAGCAACACATTTATTCTCCAAAGAAAATCGTCTCGACGTCTGTCTAGTACAAGAGGTTTTAAATCTGCATTATCGATTCCATTGAAAAATGATGAAGAAATTGAGTCAAGTCAAGAAGAATTTGAAGAAATCTCGATTCCAATTTCATCAGAAACTGATAGTACTACTGGCTGGATCAGGGTGTACGAAGGACTTAGTTGCGAGTCAGAACACAGTAGAATAGTGTATTTGACCCATTGTACTACTACCAGAGATGTCTGCAGGTAATAAAATAGATTGTTGATTTATTTAAATTAATTATAAAATAATATAAGTTAGGGCTGAGCTTAATGATTTGGTGGAAATAAGGTCCACCACACATAAGACATTGAATCTAAGTTTGCTCCCTGGATGTATCCCAAGGTATATATCGTATAGGACGTTGTCCTGTACCCATTTCTACAATTTTTAATATAATACATTAATATTTACCGTTTAGCTAAAAATAATAATTTTTGTTTTTTAAATTACTCTTAACGCCAAAATGCATATACATTTATAATATGAGCGATGTTAAATGTAGAACTGCGTTAAATAAAATGATGAGTCTCAATTCCCACACTATATTGGAAATTGAAGTCTTTTAAACGGTATAACATAACCATAACCATAACATAACACTGGTACTTCATGTTGGATTAAATTAATTTAATTTTTTATTATTTAAGATATCCAAAATTGCATCTTAAACTTCTCCTAATTGTTATCGTAAGGGCCGAATTGTATGTAATCATCTTTACTTTCCCATTTGTTGTTATAAAGTGAAATTTTTACGAATTGTAAAAATATTGTGGAAAGATTAGTAAAAGATGCAGAGAAATTATATATTGAACATAAAAACTATATTGAAAATTTCCGAATCTAGAGTTGGCGCCCCCTAAGGCGTGCGCTCGTATTTTTCGCATGCATCGCATTAAAGATAGGCTGATTAATACTTAATTTTATATTTTAAGTGAATTAATTTGTCATATCCTGTTCATATGTGTGTCATTCAATCTGCGATACATATACTGCATTCTATATTATTTTAATTTCTGGAACATCTCAACTGCTTTTCGGCAATAATAATGTAGTCATTTCATTTTTCTTATTCATAATCATAAATTTATTATACATATCCTCATATTGTCTAGATTCATAAGTAAATTGAAATTTTTGGCAGATGATAGTTTTCATTTGTTTTCAATGCAAGTGATGACATGTCATTTTTTGCATTTTTTCTATTTATTTGTACAATATTGCACATACATCCCAGTACTTTATAATTACAAACATCCTAGAAAATTTCCTTAACAAACTTCAGAAAGATTTATCAAAATTCGAATAATTGTTTATAAGGAGTATACAGTGAGTGCTTGTAATTTAATATGAACTTTAATAGCAATAAAGCTCAAATTGATTTTACGTTTTAGTTAGAAAACGTTTGCATGAGAATAAGAAAAGGCTGTTTTTAGGGTTGACCCGGTTTATTGCCGTTAAATTATTCGAATTTGTCTCGCCGTAAGAACCATCCTTGGACTTCAACAAACATTTAAAAAAAAAGAATTGGCCAAATTGGTCCAGGCGTTGTTGAGTTATGCGCTTACCAACACAGTATATATCCTATATTTTGGAGTGCAAAGGAGCAGATGACAATATGTAGAAAAATAGCAAGAAGTATTTTCATAATTAGGAATTAACTGGGAATTTTACTGAACGTTTGATAGTTGCTTAGGGTAATGTGTTGCCATGTAGTTTGTTTGGTTTTCACAGTATAATTACTACAAATTGAACTATTGTGCCCCATTCTATCCTGTTGATAAAATTATTATTATTATCTATCTATTTATTACAGGGATATGCTCCTTCCTCCAGAGTTAACTCTATGGGTCTCTTGCGGCGGAGTGCGCCCAAGGCGCCTCGGCTTACGAGAACGTCCTTTGGCTCTGCAAGACACATTTTTGCGAGGAGTAGGTTACACAGATCCTTCTCGACGTTCTCGGCTAGGAGTAGACACACAATTGCGATATTTGTTTCAACTTAGCACAGGACCTGCAGCAAGTTCTCCTAATGCAGGAGCAGCCAGTGGTCATCTGCAAATTCTTAAGGGACATGTGTTTCCTCAGTGGAAGAGCAGACCTGTTGCTCTTTTTGCTAGCAAATTGCTTATATATCCTGGTAAATAGAAAAAGGAAAAAAAATCTTGAAATTAAATAGAATTAACGAATTCGTTCAAAATTGGTAATACATATGTTTTATTAATATCTGCGAATATATTAGGAATAGGAACCATATGTATCTAACCATCAACTAACTAATTATAGTAGTAATAGTACCTATCTAATTATAGAAGACACTTGCTACAGTAGACACCAGATACTTTGCATAATTTATATACTAAAATAATATTGAATTTATACCATATATAGTGCTAATATTTATCATTATCCTTTACTAGGCTATGATGAAGGTCAGCCAGATATTATAGATTTATCAGGTGGTGTTGTGGAACCAAAATCACCACGTTGTGGGCGATTGTTATTACGAGTGGCACCACATAATTCTTCTGAAACAAATACTGTATCACCTCAATCAATTAAACACGTTTTCTTCGGTTTCAATCGAACGTGGGAAAGAGATATTTGGCTCGAATGGCTGCAAAAGGTAAGTCTGATTTATTTATTTATATGAGATTATATATACATATATGTATTCTTATATGTATATACATATATATCTCTTGAGTTGTGCCTTGTTGTATGGCAACTAAACTTACAACTTGAATTGAAAAAGACATAATGTAAGGTATAAAACAAACTACATATACATGTATATATACTATGTATTTATATGTATACGTGTTATACATATATACATATATGTGTATGTTAAATGAAATTATTAAAAAATATAATTATTTGTATTAATATATGACTTATCCCTTTGTCAGACATCATTCCTTGAGATATATGATGGTCGGAATTATTATTTTGGTTTATTTCTTTTTCGAATTATATTTTTTTTTATTATTTTTTCAGTAATATTAAGTATTATAATATTTTTATTGATCATGTTTTTGTTTGTGTTTGTGTCTTAATAACTTGTGTAATTTAATTCCACTGAGGAAGTCAAATTAGTTTTCGAAACGTATGGATCAATTTAATTTATTTTAAGAAACAAATGCTAGTTTTCACTCTATTTTATTATCTGGATGAATGCGTGTTATCATCACCTAAAAATTATATATATATATATATATATATATATATATATATTAGGGTGGTCCTTCAAATGGTCACTTTCGAATTTCCTTGCTCCCGGGGGCTCAAATGGTTCCAAATTGATAAAAACAATTCTCTGAAAGTTTTAGCTCTTAATATTAACTTTTAGATAATGCACAATTTAATCAATGGAAATAGCATGGAAAAAAATTTTAAAATAAAAAAAATATTTTTTTGGTATAATAGCAACAAATGAATTAAAAGTGAAAATTTTTTAAATTTTTTTCATGCTATTTCTATACAAAACTTTGATTGAATTGCGCTCTATCTAAAAGACAATATTAAGAGCTAAATCTTTTAGAGAATTGTTTTTTATCAATTTGGACCCATTTGAGCCCTTGGGAGCAAAGAAATTCCAAAATGTCCATATTAAGGACGACCCTAATGCATATATATATACATGCGTGTAAATTTATTAGGAAATGTAGATATTTATAAATTATTATATATCAACCAATATGTTTAAATGGCACATCCCTTCATCATACTTGATACCTTGAGGCATGGTGGTCGAAATTATTATTTTCGTTTATTTCTTTCTCGAAGAATATTTAAAACGTTTTTTTTATTTTGCAATAACATGATTGTTGTGAAGTAATATTTTCATTGATGTTATTTTTGTTTTTGTTTGTGTCTTAACGACTTGTAAGTTTTATTTCCAATGAGGAAGAGTCAAATTGGGACTCGAAACGTATGGATTTATTGAACTTATTTTGAGAAATATATTTTAATTTTCTTGGGATGGATGCCTGTAAAGAAGTATTTTGGTTTGGTCAACATATTTATAACCATCTGAAAAAAAAATGAATATCTTACAAATCTTTGATTGAATTGCGCTTTATCTAAAAGACAATATTAAGAGCTAAAACTTTCAGAGAATTGTTTTTTCATCAATTTGGAACCATTTGAGCCCTTGGGAGCAAGGATATTCGAAAATGACAATTTTAAGGACCACCCTAATATATATATATATATATATATATATATATATATATATATATATATGTGTGTATTTTTTATTACCATATATTTGTCATTTAATAGGGCAATAAGTGCTCGAATTACTATGATACCGCAATAATGTGACGTGAATGCTTAGGTTTACAATAAATCTGCATGAGATTATTAGACTATGACATTAAGATAACTGAAAATGCTAATTGGGCAGAAAAATAACGATTACGAAAGACCCGGACTGATGATTCAATTTATTTTTGTGATCGTATGTTGCTTCATAATATTTATATCACGTTGTATAAAAAAGTAAACTATTCTTTTAACATATGTTAGTTGGAGTCTTCTGTTAGAAATATAATTAAATTGAGGATAAAATAATTAGAACAAAATATTTTAGGCTAAATTACTTAGGATGAAACCCATAATAACGTTCAGTTACATGTTCAGGTTATAAACTTAAATAGTTAGTCTTCTGTTAAAAAAGAAATTAATTTTCCAGAATCATTTCAACAATATGTTGATAGAATATCTTACTTTAATTGTAGTTTGTATGTGTAATCCAATAAGAACGTTCGGGTTCAGTCATTTGATTATGCATTTATTTTTGTATTTTAAAAAATATCTTTATAAAAATATTTTTTGAAAGAATTTCTCATAGTTGACATTTTTAAATTATATAACTGTTCAGTGAATTGTTGTGAGCATTCTCTATTTGTTGACGGTTTGTGATCTTGATGGCGCTTGTTTTTTTAGTGAGAGCGACGATAAGCAAAATATAATTAGAATCTATGAATTATTTATTAAATCAATTCAATTTTTAAGTTATAAATTCATATTTATAAATAGGTGTATAATAACTAAGTTATTTCATTATGGATTGAATAATTGAACAAAAATATCTAATGGTATTTCGTGAGCGATTCATTAAAGGTACTTAAATTGTAATCTTAGGAATAAGGTCTTAGGAATAAGTTCTTAGGAATAAGATCTTTGCAGTTTAAGGTTTTCGCGGTTTGTACTTATATTTAATACCTTCTGAATATAAACAAATGTACGATATTTTACAAAGCCATTTTCGAATTAGATTTGAAACACTAGATAAATTCGTACCCACGTCCGGGTATGGTAACCGTTAAAAATCTATTTTTCAATACTATTTTAAAGTATACTGAGTTACTGTAGAGCAGCAAAATATTAAGCAAAATTGTAAATTATGTCTATACAAGTTTGCTCAATATTTGATTTATATTATTCAAATTGTGCAAAAGTTATAAGCGATATTATAAACAAATGCATAAAATTCCATGACGCCAGTTTTACGAGTAAATTTATTATTTTATGATAATTAGATCGGCATTTCTATTTTATAAGTATCATGTATCAATGCAAATTAACAAAATCACAATTTTGTCAAAGGTCACAATTAATAAAAAAAAATAGAGAAAATAATTTAAGGATTATAACCAAAGCATGAGAAATTAATTAAATCAACTTTATTACAAAATTAAACAACTTAATTAATTAAATTAACTTTGTTACAAAATTAAATAATATTCTCATAATTTATTGAAAAATATAAAAATTGTTCTAATGCACTACCTACCTTAACATATTATTTATCCATAGTTAGTCTCTTCAGTCTCCTAATATATAATAGCCTCAAATATTTAATTAGTTTATTTAATTAATTTTGCACTTTAACGAGCTGTTAGAGTTATATAATAATGCAATTCATATGCATATTTAAGATAATTTAAAAAAAATTGAAGTACATTAAATTAATAATAGTATATCTTATACAAGTCCAATTAAAGTAAAAAAAAATAAACAGAATATAGAATGATATGTATTGCAAATATATAACATACCTATATAATATTATTCTTGTTAACGTGTATTTAAAATATTTTTTTCGCCTGATCATATTTTTATTATTATTATTGTTTCAACAGCAATCAGAACTCTTACTTTACATTCTCTATAAGCTGTTTGTTAAAGACTTATGACCCAATATATTTTATGAGAAGCAACCCATCGGTTTACCATTCTCCTATGTGTGGGTTTATATTAGCTCTTATGTCAAATATTTATCATATGATCGAATGATGCAGCTATGTCTACAAAGGACTTGTTCCACTTGAAATTATATTGTGATAATCATATTTCTGGTGGGAACTTTAGTTTGCCTAATTCGAATGCCAAAATCCACTGATCGGACGTCCGGGTATGGTGGTCTTTAAAACATTCAATATTTTATATCATTTCCATTATTTTCGAGTAGATCTTTTAAAACTGGAGCAAGTATGAAATAAAATAAGAGTGTCCATCAACTCTGAACCTAATTTTTGGTCACGCTCAGGGTATCGTCTTGTCTTCGAGGTACAAGAATTGAAGCGCGTGCCCGCTCTTGTGTCTTGTGTTTGCGCCCGTCTCGTCTAATGACCGACGAGATCATTGCGCGGAAACGAAAAAGATCACTCGGAATCGGAGGATGTGTAAATAATAATAAATAATATGCGTTTCCCGGAAAAAATAATAAAAAAAAGAACGACAAATTTCTAATAATATCTGTTTTTGTAAAATAGTTCAAATATACTATAATACTTTGGTAGTATGCAACTTTTATACTGAATGTGAGCGAAATGCGTTAGCCTTTATCGTGTTATTTTGGGGTTTTTATTTTTTTACTGGATTTTATTTATCAACAACCTATCAAGAATTTTATTATTTTACAATCTTGGTTAAACGCATCAAATTTTGATGAAACTTGCCAACACAACTTTAGGGCACATTTTTTAAAGAATGGCCACTCAAACTCGCCGAATTTTGAAAATTTTAAGTTTATGTTTAACGGAATGTTATGATTCTCGAAAACTTGGGGCAATTGTGTCATTATTTTTGACTATGATCTTAGAACGGTTATTTACGATTACGGATGCAAAGTTTACATGATCAAAATTATCCACAATTCCGAATAAATGGAGGCATTTTCAAAAAAGCTCTAGGTTGCACTTAAAAGCTCTTAATTTTCAAACCATGTGAGGTAATTTTTTTATATTTTTTTTTTTGAAAATTACGATTAATACTATCATTATTTTATAACCTGAGACACAGTATATATAAATATATATTTAATACATATGTTTTTTTAATATTAGTGTTTAAATTAGCAAATTCATAAAGGTATTAGAAGCTATGAGTTTGGAAATATGACAATGGTGCTGTGAAATTAGCATGTTTAATATTTTAAGTAGTGATAATAAATTCAAATTCATTCACTTTAGAGCAGTTTTTTTAATGGACGGCTTCTCAAAATTGATAAATTTTAAAAGCTCCTGGTTGCACTTAAAAGCTCATAATTTTAAAACTACTTGTGATTATATTTTATATTTTTTTCTTGAGAGTTACGATTAATACTATCATCAT